GTGGTTTTCTACAGATGTTTTGACCTTCGTTAATAGCTCTCTAGCTACAGTGCTCCTTGGGGTCCAGCTGGTGGTCCTGGGGGGTTCCAGTGGTCTGAGATTGGCACCCAGAAGCAAAGCCCTGTATTGACGCTGTCCGGAGCAAAGCCGACTGTGTCTGTGTTCCCTTACCAGGGCCCTGAACAAATGCAGCGTGGAGGTGTATAAGAAGGTGGGGATGCTGTACCCCGAGATGAGCGTCCACGAGCGCTCGCTGGACTTCCTGATCGAGCTGCTGCACAAGGACCAGCTGGACGAGACGGTCAACGTGGAGCCGCTGACCAAAGCCATCAAGTACTACCAGGTGGGTCTGCGGAGCCGAGAGCGATGGGCTCTTGGCCAAGCTCGGGGCGTTTCTGACCCACAGGGCGGGGAACTGGTGCAACCTCACCAGTGCGTGCCACAGCTGGAAATCGTACCTTTGGATACATCGTTCAGATGGCACATTGATAAGCTGTGAATAAGCTTGTTGGTAGCACTTTCCTGTGGATGTTTTTCACCTCAAGAGCACGCAAGAGTCGAGCCTGTGACGGTGTCACCTGGGGGCTGTGTTCTCTGCTCTCTGTCCCTGGGAGGACGCAGGCAGAAAGGACGCGGTTCTCCCATCCTGCGTTTCTGTACCTCTGTGCTGCAGGCCAGGGCTGCTGGCCCTTTGAATTAAGGGCCGCCAGCTCTTTTGGAGGGCAGAGTGTTCAGCGGGGATCTGGTGGGGGTCACTGTGCAAGAGTTTTCCCTTCCAATTAAAAATTAGGCCAAACCCTCAATGTTTGGGGTTTTTTGTTACATATTTCCTTGTTTGGTTTGTTTGCTTGCGTGTGTGGAAACATTTGAGGGGTGCTGATCTCTGCTGATCTCTCTCCACCTAGCATCTGTACAGCATCCACTTGGCTGACCAGGCTGAAGACTGCACGATGCAGCTGGCCGACCACATCAAGGTGAAGTGGGGAAAAATAACTTGACTCTTTCCTTATTGCGTGTTTTCTGCCTTTGCCCTTTCTGCTCCCCCCAAGATAATTTTTTGAGTTGAAGTGCCTTCTCCCCCTCCCTATTGCAGTCACTTTTCCCCAGCTCCCGCTGCCTGCGGTGGCACAGAGGTGATGAGGGCTCCCAGGTCAGGGAAAGGGGAAGAAGACGTGGGGCCATTTGCCCTGCAGATGTCTGGGTAGAAAGAGAAGAGCAGCAAGGAGAGTGTGGAGAACCTAGTGCCCGAGAGGGAGTGTTGTACTGCCCTGAGCTTCCAAGGGAAGTACCAGTGTCCTGTGCCCCACAGAGTAAAACAAAAATTGACTGAATGCCTCAACCTGTTTTCCTGCTCCTGTAAATTCTGCAGTCGTGGCCAGGTGGTGTACAGAGGGTCTGTCCTGAAATGCCCGAGTCCAAAGCCCTAGTTTGCCCTAGTGCAGCCGTCTTGCCCAGTCTCTGCTTTGCCCCGAGCTGACGGTACCTGTGTTTGTGCTCTGCAGTTCACCCAGAGTGCCTTGGACTGCATGGGGGTGGAGGTGTGCCGGCTGCGATCCTTCCTCCAGGTAGGACATCCTCGGGGTGGCTCTGCGGGGTTGTGCTGGGTTCCCCTCGCTGATGATCCCTCTGTCAGTTTTTCTGAGGTCCTTTCTCTGCACCCTAGGCTGGGCAGGAGGCGTCCGACCTTGCCATCCTCCTCAAGGACCTGGAGACCTCCTGCAGTGACATTCGCCAGTTCTGCAAGAAGATCAGGCGCCGCATGCCTGGGACAGATGCTCCGGGTATCCCTGCAGCACTGGGCTTCGGGCAGCAGGTGAGCTGGAGGGAGCTGAGATGGGAGCTGAGTAGTGTCTCTGGGCTTTGTCTTTCTAGTTGGGATGGTGACATGGACTTTGTAACCTACTTTTCTCCAGCCTTCAGTTTCTTTCTATCTTTCTTGGTGCTTCCCATCTTCCTAGTGATGCTTCAGAAGCAAGTTAAAATCTCACTAGCTGTCAGACTAGAGTGAGGCAAGAGTTGTGCAGCCAGGAGCTTCCCCAGTGCCTGGGAAGCGAGCTGGAAAGCAGCCTGTTTGTCTCTGCCTTTCTCAACCATCCTGTTTCTGCCCGACTTTCAGGTGTCGGACACGCTGCTGGACTGCCGCAAGCACCTGACGTGGGTGGTGGCCGTGCTGCAGGAGGTGGCTGCTGCTGGGGCGCAGATGATTGCTCCTCTGGCGGAGAATGAGGGGCTGCTGGCGGTGAAGCTGGAGGATCTGGCCTTCAAAGCGAGCGAGCAGGTGGGAAACCCCCTTCTCGACTGCCCCTCGTTCCCTGCTGCAGCGGGGTAAAGCCGGGACCCGTCTCACTCCAGCGCTACAGACCTGCCCGTGAGCAGCTCTGGACGGGGGAGCCTTGTGGAGGCTGGGAATGAACTGGGAATATCGTAGAATCATAGAATAGTTTGGGTTGGAAGGGACCTTTAAAGGTCATCTAGCCCACCCCCCCTGCAATGAGCAGGGAATGGCCAGGGAATGCCAAAATGCGGAGGGCTTTGTGGTCCCCTGCTCTCTGCCGTCCTTCCCCGCAGCTGGCCTTGCTCCGCAGCCGCACCAAAGGGTCTGCGGCCTCTCAAGACCTGTGGCACGTTGTGGGGAGTCGGGAGGGGGCTGTAACGGTGGCTGTGAGCCCAGCCCAGGGGCACCTGCCACTTTCTTCCCGTCCTTTGCAGATCTACGGCACCCAGGGCATCAACCCCTACGAGTGTCTGCGTCAGTCCTGCAGCATCCTCATCGCCACCATGAACAAGATGGCCACGGCTATGCAAGAGGGAGAATACGACGCGGATAGGCCACAGACCAAGGTGGGCTTCGGCTGTGGCGGGGGCCTCAGGCAGACCCGGAGCATCTGAGTTGCTCTGTAATCTTCCACAGTCCTGCTGCTGCCTCCCCTGGCAGGAGACTGTCTTCTGATGGGGCAGAGAGCTGGGGAGCTCAGCAGTTGCCTGCAGGATTCAGGGAGACCAGGAACGATCCCCCTTTTGCTGTGTGGCCCCATCTGCAATTACTGGAATTCATTGTAAAACACTGATTTTGTGTCTTGTTCCTCTGGTCTCCGTTGCAGCCCACCCCACCTGCTGACCTACGGGCAGCAGCTCTTCGGGCAGAGATCACCGATGCTGAGGGGCTGGGGCTTAAGCTGGAGGACAGGGAGACGGTCATCAAAGAGCTGAAAAAATCTCTCAAGATCAAGGTAAGCTGTTCTTCAGTCGATCTCCGCCTTCCTGGCTGGTCAGTGACGAGGTGAAATGCTGCTGTAGTGGTGACGTTCGTGCTCCAGGTGACTTGTTGCCTGTGGAGCTGTCTCGAGTCCCAGCCAGACCTCCTCCTGGAAATCCTGTTCCAGTAGTCAGGGAGGTGCTGTCTGCTGGTGCCTCCCTGCCAGACTGACCTGGCCTTTCCCCCACAACGTTCTGGGCCAGCGAGTGTTGCTTGGTGATGGGTGCGTGTGTCTGGGTACCAAGCATCGGTGCGGTGTGGGTGGGGGTTGTGATTTCTGGGCAGGCTCCCACCAGGCGCTGCAGGGAGCTTTTCGTAGTGCCCACCATCCCCAGGGCCCTGGAGCTCTCTGATTGCTTTCCTGCCTCTCCAGGGCGAGGAGCTCAGCGAAGCAAACGTGCGGCTCAGCCTCCTGGAGAAGAAGCTGGACAGCGCATCCAAGGATGCAGATGACCGTGTGGAAAAGATACAGACAAAGCTGGATGAGACCCAGACTCTGCTCAAAAAGAAAGAGAAGTAAGTGTGAAATGGGGCTGCTGTTGGAGGGTCTCTGATGAGGACTGGACAGCCGGCGGTCCCTCGGGCTGGCTGGGAGGCTTTGTGCCTCAGTGGAGGGGGACGTTAGTGGAGGATCCGCAGGGGAACCAGCACATTTTAATGGTGCACAGCAGAGCGCAGGCTGGCAGAGGGGTCCTGGGAAAGGTCCTGTTCAAATGCTCTTGTGGAAAGGGCCGTTGTCCTGGCATGTTCTTACTGCCATTGCTGTGCTCCAAGCGTCTCTTGCCACACGTGGGCTGTTGGCAGAGCGAGCCTGTGGCCAAGCAGGGAGGAGCAACCCGCAGGGTGGAGGGAGGACTGTCTTGTGGTGTAAAAGCTGCGCGAAACAGCTAAGGGGATGCTGGGTTCAATCTGGATGAATCCTTCCTTTGTTTGCTGTACTGCAGTCTGCAGTGGAGGCTGGTGGGGCTCCAGCTCCTGGATCAGCAGGTTCCTGCTTGAAGCACAGCAGCAGCAGGAGGCATGCCAGGAGCTGCCGGGCAAAGCCAGGAGCTCTCGGGTCCTGGACTGCTTGCCTCTTTCCGTTGGAGGAGCATCTCCAGCTATACCCGTGACTGACTCTGTGTGCTCTTCCCAGGGAGTTTGAGGAGACCATGGATGCTCTTCAGGCAGATATCGACCAGCTGGAATCAGAGAAGGTGGAGCTGAAGCAGCGCTTGAACAACCAGTCAAAGCGAACCATCGAGGGCCTGCGCGGTGCCCCTGCCTCTGGAGTTGCCTCCATCGTGTCTGGCATTGCCGGAGGTGCGTACCCAGCGTCCCCAGAGCACTCGAACGCTTCTGCAGCTGGTGTAGGGTATTTGCAGGCTGGAAAGGGAGCCTGGGACGTCCACCCGACACAGAGTCTGGGAGCTGTGCAGGGGAATGCCCTGCAGTGTCTGTGTGGTGTCCCGGGAAGCAGTGTGGGAGCTCTGGCTGCCGGCAGGAGCGAGCAGCGCTTGGGAATGGTGCTCCGACGGTGCGCTGCTCTGCCTGCCCGGCCCTCCCGCAGTGAGCCGGAGTCCCGGGCAAGGAGAGGACAGGAGGTGTTTGAGCTTTAACGACGACTGGGGAGTGCGGAGGGCCCGCAGCTCCCCCGCAGTGTCCAGCAGCTCCGTGCTTGGGCAGGCAGGGCAGTGGTGGCACCTCTGCAGAGCCAGCCTGGGGCGTCCCTGCAGCTGGCTGGGGCTGGGGGGTCCTTGGTGGCGGGGCATCTTGCTCCGGCTGCCGTGGG